CCCCAAAACCCCAAAACCCCAAAACCCCGCACGTTAAAATTTAGCAGTAATATTTACTCATCCATTATTTAATACATAAATATCAATCATAAGATTAATGGAGTCAACATCTGAAAATAAGCAAGATGTTTTATCTAGAAAAGATGTCTATTAGATAATTGGTGAATTAGAGGCACTAAGTCCAGATACTTAAGATTCTGAATTGGAGGACGTGACATCACTCATTTATAGCACTGTTGAAAAACTAAATGATTGTGAATTCTTGGCTAAAAATGATTTCGATTTAAATGAGTCAATGTCAGCATTTGAAGTCATGGATCTTAAAATGGATATGCGACTCAGAAGAAAAGAGTATCTTCATCCAAAGATGGCTATACAGACTGGACTTTTGAAGATCGAAAACTCTCTTTCATTAGAGGAATAGATCGCTGTTCTTAATGAGTTTATGATTCAATTTAGTTGCTGGCAAAAGTACAATGTATCTGTTTAATAGACCATATACAGTTGCTATTATTTAATTAAGAGAGAATATTATGAGAAAAACCCTTACATAGCCAGCTACATTGAAGCACTTCATCTATTAATTTTGACATTCTATGAGAATGCCAGATACTCAAACTGTCTAAGAGACGAAGATATTTGCTTCCCCCCTTGCATATAAAAGAATCATTAAAAGAGTTTAAAAGATATTTTAGCATAGATTAATGATTAAATCTCTGAGCTATCAAAAGACAAAAACAATGTTTAATTTGAAGTTATAGCTGGCCATTTGAAGTTCATTAGAAGTATGATGCTCATTCTATTGAATGCTTTTGATAAAGATTTAATTACTGCCAAAGAAAATAATGAGGAGACTAAGTAATCTTCTAAAAAGAAAAAGAAGAATCCTCTACTTGATGTTCCAGCTTAGATCAAGGTCTTAGAATAAAGTCTAACAAGTCTAAAGAAATTTGAGCAACTTGACTAAAGTCACAATGAGTGGGCTGAAAAGCTTTTTGATTAGAAAATTGTTCCAACCCTCCCGTTAGTTAGTAACTTAAAAAAGTTTTAAAGACACGACTTCAATTCAGCATTAGTATTCTTCACCGAATTTCACAGTGACCTTGTAGCTTTGGAAAATATCAGAGAAAAGACTTAATACTTTGAAGAGCTAATTTATGATATGAATTAGTTTTCATCTAAGAATCCCTGTTCAATGATTAGGCTAATATATGAAAGAACAATCTTTCCAGATCCAAGCTAGATGCTCGTTTTGAAGAATGTTTTAATACAGGACTTCCTCATGAAAGGAATCATCGAAGTTCATCCTTTTATTAAAAATCATCTTGAAAATGATACTTTCAAAGAATTTTATCATAAATATTCACTAGTCGCAAAGGAGCTAATGATGAAGTGTCTAAGAAACCCAAGTAGGTAAAGAAGATCTATCTCCAAGTATTTTGATGACTTTAATATTTTACTCAATGAAGCCAATATTTTTGATAATGAAATCCTTACCAAACTTGGATAGAATCCAAGACTTGGCAATACTGTTGCTCTAAACATGGTTATAAACATTTCAATGCTTATTGGATTAGAATACTTAAACAGGGGTATGGAGCTTGAACTATTCTCCAATCATGAAATGTATATGGCCTTTAATTATAGTAGACTTGTTTATCAAATGCTCATTTTCAATAGGAAACCATAAATCTCAGGGATGAATGAAGACTTGTTAAAGTTGAACTTAGTTGATTTAAATGATCTAAATGCTAGTCCAGATAAATTCAAACAGAGAAGAAAGAAGTCAACCTTCGTATAAAAATTAGTGTATGACGAATTCGAATTCTTCAAAGCTATGTTCTCTATCAATGGGGGAATGACTTTACTAGCGGCATATGCAATGAAATAAGGACTTGTAAAAAATATAATAGCTTAAGAAGGCGTTGAAAAGTAAGTTTATGAACAAAGATTCGGTGTTTTTGCCACAATGTAGTTCCCAAGATATATTTCTTACGAAGAATACAAAGCAAATCTCGAAAATGATTGCAATATGGATTCCAAGGAGCTTCTTGAAAAGGCAAAGAATTTATTTATAGAAGGCAAAAACATACTCCAAAAACTTATTCAGACCGAGGATACATTAAAGAATGACAGATACTTCAACAAGCAGTATCTAGAAAAAATTCAAAGAATAGCAATTATGAATTCTTTAAATTTAACCAAAATTAGTATGTTTGGAGAAAATGCAGTTTTTAAGGTCAATAGAACTGACTCACTTCCACATTTAATTCTTATTGAAGTAGAGAAGAAGAAATGATGAATTAATATATATTTGAATTAAATCTTTCAAATGAATTAAGAAAAATATTCAAGGTTTTTATAATCATGGGGTTTTGGGGTTTTGGGG